TGAGATCCATGAAGCTGATAGGAATAATCTGCCTGCGCGACATCTCCTCCGTCGTTGTGTGGAACCACTTGGCCATCTTCTGGCACGCCTCCTCATATGTCTTTCTCAACTTTGCCGATGTCTGACGAGGGGGGAGTTCATGGCCACAACTCCAATGGACTCAGATCTGGTCTGAAAACTCGCAGCTGCGCATCGTCCCCACAACAACGCGGGCGTGGGATAATTCCGCTTCAACGTAGATCTTGGAAATCCCGAAGTCTACATAAGAGAACTGATACCACAGGATGCCGAAACGTATGCACTCCTGCGATGCCCAAACTATATCACCCATGCGTTGTCGATCAGCCGGGTCTCGTTAACTTGCTCTCCGTACGATTCTGCTTGAGTGCCCACGAGGGCGTAGACGTCCCTCTGCGGCAGCGCCTGCACGATGTCGTTCAGCCGTTCCGTAGATCTGGCGGCGCACGGGTTGTAGCAGACTGCTCTCACCAATCACTCTCTCTGCCCATAGAGCTCGCGGGGCAGCACCGCCGCCGCGCGGCTCTATCCACGAGTAAGGAGACATCGCGGCCCGCTGCTCGTGTGCTGTGTCGGTGTTTCCTCTTAGGCGGCTGGTCTGCTGTTCTGTGGGCTCGTGCCGCCTGGAGGAGGAGGAGGAGGAGCAAGGGCTCCCAACTTCGCGCTTCGCGCTGCGCGAAGCGCGAAATGCGAATAATTTTACGCTCTCGCGCCGCCTCCCAGGGGCGAAGAGGAGGATGAGGAGGAATCGGAGCCGAACCGCGAAGCCAGAAGCGCGAATAACTTAACGCCCTCGAGGACGCCTTTGCTCAAGGGTCCCGACCCACGATTCCCCAGGCGCTCAAGAAAAGATCCTGGGGTGTGCGGGGTGAGCTCTCTGGACGCTGAGCCCCCAAGAGTGTCCGAAAAGCGCCCCAGATGGTCTAGAAAGGCTCTGGGGCTGTCCAAGACGTCTTCAAGATGGCCCGATATGGCCTCTAGGCGGCCGACGAGACCCCCAAGACGGTTCCAGGAGGACCCACACGGAAGCCTCAAGAAGGAAGAAGCTTAGATGTTCGGTGTCCTTGCCAGATGTTAGCGCTCTCGCCTATTCAGGCTCCCGACGTTCCCCCCGTCGCGCACCAGCGCTTCGCGGACTTGCTCGCCCTCGGCCAGGGCGGCAAAAAACGTCGAGGCCAAGCGCGGTGACCAGCCTCCACGCGTCCATGAACGTCAGGCGAACTGCTGTCGAGAGCGCAGTCTTCACCGGCTGCGCGAGGTCCCTGTCCGCTCTCTTCAAGGCCTCCTAAATGGGGTCGGCGTAGATGAGGTCGGAGGATCGCGCCGCATCGCTGATACATCGGCGATGCATCCGTGATGCACCGGCGATGCATCGGCGATGCATCAGCGACGCATCGTCGATGTCGGCGATGCATCGGCGACGTCAGCGTGAAGAAAGTCGGGCTGCGCATCGGGCCGCATCGGCGATGCGGCGCGATCCTCCGACCCCATCCGCTCGGTCCCCGTCTGGGAGGCCTAGATTTAGCTCGGGTGTTCCCCTACAGGCGGATTTTGGACGAAAATATAAAATACAAAAAATGCACGAAAAAATGAAAAAATATTCGTCCCCATACGGGGCGCGCAAACATGGATTAGCGATCCATGGAATTGGCGCGCGCTCGTCAAATCCATAGATCGGGGGAGGTGCCCTCGCCAAAATGCGGCCGGCGCCGCCTCGCTCGGCGGCGGAAATCCGCGATTTCCCATGGAAACGGGACCCGCCGCCAATCCACGCCCCCTTGATCCATGTCTGCGATCGCCTGAATCTGGGCGGCCTAGATGAAGGTCGGGCATATCCCCCTACAGGCGGATGTTGGACGAAGATCTAAACATACCCCAAAAATGGTTCAAGATGCCAAAAAATCAGAGCGAGGGGGCCCAAACAAACATTCACTGTCCCTGGGTGCGTGGCTGAAGTGGGGATCCACGGCGAGGATTATTGTTGTTGTTTCGTTGTTGTTTTGTTCGTCGTCCCCACCCAAACCCGCCCGCGACCCACCCGCGACCCACTCCGCGACCCACCCCGCGACCCACCCGCGACCCACCTGCGACCCACCCGCGACCCACCCCGCGACCCACCCGCGACCCACACGGGCGCCCCCTCACTCTTATCCGTAATTGCAGGGGTGTATAGTAGTCAAAACATCGTCCCCAGACTACAGGGAAGTTTTTATTACATGGGATTTGTATTACACGGGATAATTATTATACATGGTCGAAGGGTAGGAAAACCAGGCCCTGGCGCGCGCGCGGGAAGACATAGGATTGATAAGACATGCTCGCAGACTAAGCAAAAGGATCCCCTCCGCGCGCGCGCAAGCCATGCATCAAAAACCGCCCTGTCTTGTCCGACTCCAGGAGGCCCAGATCTCTGCAGCCCGAGAGTCGGGCGTTGGTAGAACTGGGTTTAGTGGAACCTGGGTTAGTGATCTGTACCAGGGGCGCCCCCCCGCCCCATTTCCACCAACCGGAACTGCCGTCACCCGAAAAAAACACCAGCTATGGCAAGCCTGGTTTAGTGATTCTGGCCAATCCGAAGGCTCCAGGGCCCCACCACTAAGCGGGTCCCCTTACCCGGGGTCCTGGCCATACCCGACGAGAGGCCCCCGGGGGGACCCTCCCAGCACGGCCCACCGAGGCCGCGGGGTGCTCGCCCCGGACGCCACTGAGGAGGCCCAAGGAGGCGCAAGCCATGCAGCAAGAACCGCCCTCCAACTTCTGACCCCGGGAGGCCCAGACCTCTGCAGCCCGAGAGGCCCCCCAGGGGGGGATCCCCCGAGGACGGCCCACCGAGGCCGCGGGGTGCTCGCCCAGGACGCCACCGAGGAGGCCCCGAGGGGGCGGCCGCGCGTGGCCCCAGAGACGGCAGAGAGGGCAGCCCCCAGGAGGGCACCAGGACGACGGAAGGGGCCCCAGGACACATAAATCAATACACACGAATAAGAAGATTCCCCTATAATTTCCCCTATTTTCGAGGTTTTCGTCTTCCCCCCCACTTCCCATATTTTCCCATATGTTCTGGGGAATCGACGATAGATTGTGTCTGTGTGCTTTTTTCCCTCCTGAACGACCCCAGGAGCGCCCCAGGAGAGCTCCGCAGAAGCTCTGCGATGGGCCCCACGGGAGCTCCGGGCAGCCCGAGCCAGCCGAGAGGCGTCACAGAGGAAACCAGCCGGCCCAAGACAGTTCCAAGTAGCCCTATCGTGAGGGCAGCACTGAACGCCAGCAGCGTTCGCCTCCTGCCTGCGAGCCGCAGTCCCTGACCCAGGCCGAAGGGAAAGCGAGCCTCTGATGACCGCGCCAGGCGGCCTTCGCGGGCGGGCAAGCTCAGGGCGACGACGCCGGCGTGGTACATGTACGGCCCGGAGGTGGTGCTCGAGATGCCGCTTCAGAGAGGAGGTGCCTTCTGTTACGGCCTTCTGGGCAGTGCTCGACGCGTCGCTACGCGGAGGTGACACATGTGACGGCCTTCCAAAGGGGGGGCGAAGCGTCACCGCACAACTCGTTACGTAAACCGCAACGGTATCATGAAGGCCACGGGGCAAGATGTGTCACATGTTACGTCCTTCCTGCCTGTCTGTGTCCTAACCACTCTCGTCCACATCCTCTTCCTACTCCACCTCCTTTGTGGAAACAGCAGCTGGAGGACACGGGACAAGAGGAATCGTACGTGACGTCACTCTCCTCCTCCACCTGCTCATCATCATCCTCCTCCTGATCCTCCTCCTCCTCGTCATCATCATCATCATCGTCATCATAATCCTCATCATCATCCGCATCATCAGCAGCAGCATCATCAGCATCATCATCATCATCATCAGCAACATCATTGTCATCATCATCAGCAGCAGCATAATCATCATCAGCATCAGCATCGTCATCATCACCACCATTATCAGAATCAGCAGCAGCACCATCACCACCATCACCACAATAATCATCATCATCATCATCAGCATCACCACCACCATCAGCATCACCATCAGCATCAGTATCATCAACACCACTATCATCATCAGCAGCATTATCATCAGCAGCATCATCAGCATCATCAGCAGCATCATCAGCAGCATCAGCATCATCAGCATCATCATCATCACCACCACCACCATCCTCATCATAACCAGCAGCAGCACCATCACCACCACCACATTAATCATCATCAGCACCAGTATCATCATCACCATCATCATCACCATCAGTATCATCGACACCACCATCAGCGTCAGCATCATCATCCGCATCAACAGCAGCATCCTCATCAGTATCATTATCATCATCATCATCACCATCATCATCATCATCATCATCATCAGCATCATCATCATCATCATCATCATCAGCATCATCATCATCATCATATTCTTCATCCTCATCATCCGTATCATCAGCAGCATCAGCATCATTAGTATCAGCATCATCATCATCGCCATCATCATAATCATCAGCAGCATCGGCATCATCATCAGCATCATCTTCGCCGTCATAATCACAGTCGGCATCATCGCCATCGTCATCGTCGTCATCCTCGTCACCATCGTATCAGAATCATCATCGTCAGCATCAGCAGCATCATCAGGAGCATCACTCTTATCGTCCCCCATAATCCTCCTTCTCCGCCATAGCGTACTCTCGTAGCAACCCAAGACAGCCTCGGGACGGCCGGGGCGTTGCCTGCAACGGCCATCTGGGCGCTTTTCCAACCGTCGGCACACAGAGGATGAGGAGCATCAGCAGCAGCAGCAGGCAGTGGACGGAGCAGAAAGAGTAGCAGGCGAAAGAAGCAGGGTGGAGATGAGGGGCTCACCCTGACTGGGAAGAATCGCGGTGTCGTAGGCGCCGAGTTGTTTAACAAGCGAAAGGACATGTAAAGATGGGAAGGATGCGGCCACGACGGCAATGACAATGACAACCCAAGCAGGCATAGAGGGGGTGGCGGAGACATTCTTCTGCAGGTTGTGGTTGGAGAAGACAACGTGGTGCCTCAACGAGATGACGGGGACGATGCGGGGGGGGGGGAGGAGGAGGAGGAGGGAGGAGGAGAAGGGCGGAGGAGGAGGAGGAGGAAGAGGAGGAGGATGAGGAGGAATAGGAGGAGGATAATAAGGAATAGGAGGAGGAGGAGAAGAAGGAGAAGGGGCAAAGGGGGGAGGCAGGAGGATGAAGAGGGGTGGCATGAGCAATAGCTCGTACCTCGTCGTGCAACGTGGAAGAAACTAAGGTGGGGGGCCGTCGAGTCAAGAGGTCCTACTCGAGTCAACGAGACAACATACCTCATGTTGTTAGGCCTGTTGGTTGTTGAGTGTTTTGAGTGTGTTGTGAACTGTGTGTTGTGTGTTGTGTGTGCATGTTGTCTGTAGTTTGTGCGGCATGTGTGTGGTGTGTGATGTATGCATGTGTGTGTGTCGTGTGTGGTGTGTGCGTGTTGTGTGATGTGTGTTGTTTGTGAGTTGTGTGTCGTGTGTCGTGTGTTGAGTGTTGTGCGTCGTGTGGTCTGTTCTGTGTGTGGTGCGTGTGCTGTGTGTTGTGTTGTGTGTTGTGTGTGTTGTGTGTGTTGTGTGTGTGATTTGTGTGTTGTGTGCTGTGTGTTGTGTTGTGTGCGTGTGTCTGTCTGTGTGTGCGTGCGTGCGTGCGTGTGCGTGGGTTCGTGGGTTCGTGGGTGCGTGGGTGGATTCGTGGGTGTTTGGGCGAGTGTGTGAAAGTGTGTGTATGCCAGCAGGCTGCCCGCGTGCTCGCACTGCGGGATAGCTCGCACGTTGGCCGGCTTCGCGGGGACGAGATATGCAAAGCAGGCAAGGGCTGTCTGTGTCGGGTATGCTGGACTGCTGGGCTCGATGGCAGCTCACAAGCATCTTCCGATGTTCCCCCAGGGCCAGGAAACCAGGCCGTACTGGTCCTTGTCCTTCCTCACAGGACGTTACATCCTTCACGGGCAATTGCATTATTCATCGTTGCCATCCTCTTTGCGGCAGACTCTGGGCCAGGCCGTAGGTCTGTCCAGGTCCTTTGCCTGCGGGCGCCCCCACTCGGCCTCCTTCTCTAACGGGCGCCCGCCGAGTCTCCCGCGCGCATCCTGCGGCACAGCCGGCTATGTCTACGTGGAGCGTCCGCGCGCGTAGCCAGCTGGTGCGCATTCGGGTTGCTCGTTCTTGCCCTCGTAACTCGTCTCTGAATTGCTCCTGGCCCCGGCTGGTCTTTGGCCTGCCATCGGTTGCAGGCACAGCAGTCTGCCCAATCCTGTCTTCCAAGCAGGGCCGGGCTGGTTGATATGTTTTGCTCATCCGCGCCCTGCGAGATGTTTTGCTTGCCGCTGGTCTGTCAGACACTGAGTGGGGACCGACCGTCCCGGCATTCCTATAGGCCCACCGCGAAACGCTCTTGGAGCCCAACCATGCTCTGAAAGCAAAAACCACGTTCTCAGACCATGAACCCGATGTGCTGAAAGAAGACAGTCCCAGCCAGAGAGGTTCTAAGAACACGTCGTGCAGACCACAAAAAGGCTCTCAGAGCATGTGTTGGTTGGTGGGCCCCGAGGATGAGCCCCGGGGCGCCTCGCCACTGCTCCATCTCCTCCGCGCCTCGCGACATAGTCCTGCCTGCCGCGGAGCCGGTCTGTCAGACGCACCCTCGAGAGCTCGGCGTCCGCTCCTCTCCCGCTCTGCTCCCCGCGGGGCTGGCGCACGTTGGCGGCGCGCACAGGGGGGTGGAGGGAGGGGGGAGGGCATCTTAAAGGAGGCTGCTTCTTAGAAGGCGCTGGCCTCACACCTATAGAGAAGGCCCGCGCCTTCTAAGAAGCAGGGGTGCTTCTAAGAAGCCTTCCCCCCTCCCCCTACCCCCTCTGCGCGTTGCCGAGCACGCCCGCCTGGCCTCGACGCCCGCCGTGGTCTGTCTGCGCGGGCAGAGCTCGCTCGCGGCAGGTCGCCGCAATGCGTCCCCCGGGGCGTGTCGCCACGCCTTCCCTCCGTCGCGCGCCCGCCTCGTGGCCGGCGCCGCCCTGCTGCTCACAGGCGGCCCGCACCGCAGGGAGGCGCGGTGAGGGCATAGGGGCCTCAGAGGCCCCACGCGGGCGCTCTTCGAGCGAGGTTGGCGAGCGAAGGTCGCTAAGGGTGGGCCGGAGGGGCAAGGATGCAAGGGCACCCTTGGGTTGTGCTGTTCCCGGCCTGCCTAAGGGCCGCGTCCCAGAAATAAGTTCGAGCACCCGGAAAAGTGTCAAAAGAGTGTCGAAACAGTGTCCAAACAGTGTCCGGCGAGTGTCCCCCAGGGCCCGACACGTGAAAACCCTTGAGTTTCGGTACTTTTTGGGGGCGCTCGAAATTCTTCCTGGTGATCAAGGCTAAAGTAGGTTGGAGCATCATAACCCTTGAGAAGGTTGCCCATCCTTACTATGCGGGTTGACTGTACCAGCCGCCCCTCCCGAGCCCGCGCCGCGGAGGGGCGCGGCCCCGACCTCCTTGCTTGCCCTCTGGAGCCAAGCCGAGCGGTGGCGCCAAAGGGTGGAGCCGCGCGCGGTCCAGCGTCCCGTCCGAGCACCCACACAGCGAAGCCGCGCGACCGCGCGACGCATCATCATTTACCTCCTCCTCCTCCTCCTCCTCCTCCTCCTCACCATCCACCTCCACTCCTCAAGTTCAGCATCCCCCCCACGTCCTTGCTCCACGTCATCCATCCAGCCTCCTCCACTTCCTTCCCTCCTTCTCCAACACCATCTCCTCCTTCTGCTCGTCCGACTCCGGCGGGCCAAGATGCCAGACGGGAGAACTACGTAGCTCCTCCTCCTCCTCCTCCTCCTCCTTATCCTCCTCCTCCTCCTTCTCCTCATCCTCATCATTCTCCAAGACATTCCTGCTTCCCCCTCTCCTCCTCCTCCTCCTTCTCCTCCTCCTCCTCCTCCTTCTCCTCCTCCTCCTCCTTCTCATCCTCCTCCTCCTCGTCCACGTCATCCTCCTCATCCTCCTCATCCTTCTCCGAGTCCTTCCTTCTCCTCCTCATCCTCCTCCTCCTCCATGTCCCCTCCCCTCCTCTCTCTCCTCCTCCTCCTCCTCCTCCTCCTCCTCCTCCTCCTCCTCCTCCTCCCCCTCCCCTCTCCTCCTCCTCCTCCTCCTCCCTCCTCATCATCATCATCATCATCATCATCATCAGCATCATCAGCATCATCATCATCAGCATCATCATCATCATCATCATCATCATCATCATCATCATCATCATCATCATCATCATCATCATCATCATCATCATCATCATCATCATCATCCTTTTCCTCCCAGTTGTTCCTCCTCCTCCTTTTCCTTGTCCTCCTTCCCCATATTTTCCTTATCCTCCTCCTTCTCCTCCTCCTCCTCCTCCTCCTCCTCCCCTTCCTCCTCCTTCTCCTCCCAGCCCCTCTGCATTATATCCCAACGCCTCCATCATCCTTCCTAAGAAGCTCCACAACCACCAGACGTGTCCGTGCGCTTGGCTGGCCGGTGCGCTTGAGGCTTCCTTACAGCGCACTCTCCTGCAAAACAATACCTCAGAGTTACAGGGATAGAGAGCCGATGGTTATCGACATGCGGCTCTCGCCACAACTCAGCGAACATTCGCTCGTTGGCTTTGACAGGTCGGCCAAGGCTGGAGGGCTGGTGAGTTTCCAAATGCGGCGCTGGCGTTCGCGCCACACACACATCCATTCTCAAAGAACCCCATAATTACCTACCAGGATGGAGAGCCGGCCGTAGCGTCGCGCACAGTCGTTGGAACAGAAGACCAACAATTACAAAGAAAACAGGAATCCGACAATTGCAATGAATCCAAAATTACATAAATCCAACAACTACAGGCTGGTAGTGTCGAAATGCGGATCTCGCTTTAACGCCGCATGCTTTTGATCTACGAATCCCCAAAAGATACACAGGGATGGGACCGGCTCATTTTCAGAATGCGGCTCCCGCTCAGGACTTTCCGGACATCGATAACCTAAACGTCAGAATTGCAAAACAGTCATACGGATAAATGGCAGTTATTTTTCAAAATGGGGCACTCGCGTGATGCTCCCACAAGTTGTATGATCAGGACAGTGACACTGAGCAAATACTTACGCCGATGGAGGGTAGATCCTGTTTACAACGGGGCGGGGCTGTCGCTAGACACCTCGCTGATCTGTTTCATCCCATACCCATCGGTCGGAAGAAATAGGCAGAAACATGAGTAGGAAGGCGTTGAAAGTAGATTGGGTTCCGTCCGCCCCCTTGGGGGGACGAAGAAGGTGAAGCCACTCGATCACTGAAGTAGGAAGGCGCTTGAAGTAAAATGGAATCTGGTAGTCCAAGAACATGTACTTTCAACACCTTCTTATATATATAGATATAGATATAGATATCGATTGAAGGCTCCTTGTCTGCTCCTAGTTAATTGAAAATTCAACGACTTGAAATGTCACTATGATTAGGTCGGACATGTCCACCTACAGGCGGATTTTTGACGAAAAATGAACACATAGTCAAACAAAGACTCCCACATGGTCACAGATGGTCTCAAAGAAAACGCCCCCTGGCTATCTTTTGACTATGTTTGAATCTTCCTCCTGTAGAGGGACAGGCCTGACCTCACACTAAATTGGGTATGGTTGATTGGGCAGGGACCGACCGTCCCGGCATTCCTATAGTCCTACCACGCAATGTTCTTAGAACCCCCAAATGTTCTAAGAACAGAAACAGTGTTCTTAGATCATAAGCCCGATGTTATGAAATAAGACAGACTCCGCCGGAAATGTTCTAAGAACACTTCGTGGAAACCACAAACGGTTCTTGGAACATTGTTTGGTAGGGCTATAGGCGAGCCAGGACGCTTCGCCACTGCTTGAGCTGTGCTCCTCTGCATCTTGGAGCATGCAGGAAGGATCCTCTGCAGAGCAGGGGCGCCCCCCGCGCGGCGGGCCCACCGGGCGCCCGTCCACTCCGCGGAGGTCGCGCCCGGGCCGCCGGCGGCAGGAGAGAAAAACTTGTGGGTCGGGCCGGTCCCCCTCTGGGGACATTTTGGGCAAAGCCTTTTAAATACTCAAAACAGGCTCCCACAAGGCTCAAAAATGGTCCAAAGGTCGTGCCCAGACTATAGTTGGGACCATGTTTACAGATACTCCCTGTAGAGGGAGAGGCCCGACTTAAGACTACTTCTTTGCTTGGCAGCGCTATTTTGGAGGGAGAGCATCCCTGCAGGGAGAAAAACTTTGGGGGAGTGCAATCTTGGAGGGAGAACAAGTTTGGAGGTAGAGCAAGCTTGGAAGGAGAACAATTTTGGAGGGAGAGCGATTCTGGAGAGAGGACAAGTTTGGAGGGAGAGCACTCCTGGAGGGAGAACAATTTTGGAGGGAGCGCAATCTGGGAGGGAGAACCGTATGGGAGGGAGAGCAAACTTGTAGGGAGAACACTCTTGGAGGGAGAGCAATGGAGGGAGACCAGAGAGGAAGGAATGCCTGTACGGACTAGTACTGAAGAAGGAGAGGGCGTGGGAGGGGAGGCTGTACTGCATCGTCGTTGACGCGTCCTGGGTGTACTGCGGCCCTCCTCCCCATCCTCCTGCCCCGATTCGTCCCCGTCCCTTTTCCAGCTTCTAGGCTGTTTTGATCGGGTTCTCAGGCAGCAGACCCAGGCCAGCGCAAGCGCATGGCGAGGCCAGAGAGCAAGAGACGACTCATCCTACTCATCTGTATCCACTTATGCGTAGACTGTGTCGCTGACCAGACATCATAGAATCCTCTTCCTCCTCCTCCTCCTCCTCCTCATCATCATCTTCTTATCATCATCCGAATGCCCATCATCAATATCATCACTGTCATCATCACCACCATCATCATCAGCACCATCGTCATCATATGGATCGTCGCCGTTATCGTCATAATGACCGCCGCCATCACCATAATCATCATCACCATAACCACCATTACCATCACCATCGTCATCATCGTCACCAGCAGTATTACCATCATCATCACAACCATCACCATCACAATCATCGCCATCCTCCAAAAGACCACCACCAGCATCATCATCAACATCATCATCATCATCATCATCATCATCATCATCATCATCATCATCATCATCATCATCGTCACCACCATCATCTTCAGATCATCTCCATCACCATCGTCACCGTCATCATCACCCATTATGACCAGCCTGTCAACAGCTTGATCATCAACATCATCTGCATCATCAACATCATCATTACCGTCACCATTAGCACGGTGCCCTTCGTCAGCGTCATCAGCATCACTACCGTCACCACCCTCGTCACTGTCATCATCACCAACACCATCATCAGAGTCACCAGCATCAGCATCATCATCATGAACATCATCATGACCATCGGCATCATCGTCATCAGCAGTGCCGTCATCATCGTATACAGCATCATCGTCATCATCACCACTGTTATCGTCAACAACATCATCGCCATCGCTACAATCATCACTCACCGTCACACTACACACTGTCATCAGCATCATCATCACCACCATCACCATCGTTAGTGTGATCGTCAACATCATCATCCTCATCATCGCCAGCATCGTCTTCATCATCATCACTATCAACAACAGAATCACCAACAATACCGCCATCAACATCAGCAACATCACCAACACCATCGTCGCCACCATCGTCGTTGTCATGCTCGTCATCGTCAACATCATCAACATCGCCATCACAACCTGCATCACCACTATCAGTATCAGCCACTATCAGTATCAGAATCATCATCACCGCCACCATCACCATCGTCATCCTCGTCGTCATCATGATCAACATCACCATCACCACCATTACCAGCAGCACCGTCATCATCGCCACCACCGCCGCCGTCGGCATCCTGGTCATCGTCACTCTCAATCTCGTCATCGTCATCATCATCATCAGCCGCATCACCATCACCATCATCGCCGCCATCAGCATCATCATCATCACCAGCATCAACATCAGGATCAGCATCATCATCATAACAATCATCAGCATCATCATCGTCCTCATCACCATCAACGCCATCATCAACATCACCATTATCATCAGAATTGGCATCGATCTCGTCATCATCACCACCATGAGCATCACCACCAGCACCGGCACTTCAATAACCATCAGCACAACCACACTCAGCATTCTCATCACCGTCAGCATCGTCATCATCGTCATCATCGGAATCGCCACCACCACCACCAGCATCGGCATCAGCATCAGCATCATCATCACCACCATAATCATCATCATCATCACCATCATCATCATCATCGTCATCAGCAGCATCATCATCGTCATCATCGACATCGTCATCATCACCATCATCATCGTCATCATTAGCATCATCGTCATCCCAGCCACTCCTCCTCGACCCCCTCCCCCTCCCCCGCAGGCGGGGCCCTGAGCGCCCCGCCTGTCGTCCCAGGCCTTCCTCGGCGCGGGGGGGACGAAGGGCCCACGGCGGCGCGCACGAGGCGAGGAGGGGCGAGCGCGGAAGGGTGGGCGAGGGCCGCGGCCGTGCGGAGAGAGGGAGAGAGAGAGAGGAGAGAGAGAGGAGAGAGAGTGAAAAAGAGGGGAGAGGGGAGAGAGGAGAGAGAGAGAGAGGGAGAAGAGAGAGAGTGAGAGAGAGAGAGAGATGGGAGGCGAAGCGAGGGGAGAGGAGAGAGGAAGAGGGGAGGGGACATAGAGAAGAGGTGCGGTTTGGGCTCAACAACTCCTCATCCTGCGCGTTTCTCCCGCCCTCCCTCGAAACTCCTCCTCCTCCTCCTCCTCCTCCACGTAATCCGCCCCCTGTATAATTATCTTCTCCTTCATCCTGTTTCCTCCTACTCCCCTCACCCCTCCTACCTTAGCCCTGACTCCTCCACTCTCTCCTCCTCGGCATCCCTCCTCCACCTACACGACTCTTCCCCGCGCTCGTACTGTGCAGCACTCGACCGACGCAAGAAATCAGCTTGGCCATCAACTGTGCACCATGGTCTTACGAGGGCTCTCGACATTACCCCGCTCCCCGCGCTGAATACGGGGCAGGCGCTCGAATGGTTGCTGTGCTAACGCTACCAGGGCGGGGCAGGCGGTGCTGCCATCAACGTTGGTCACGCAGAGTGGGGAATGTGCATTGGAGGCGATTCACTGTCGTCTCTTGCGTTCCAATCAGCACCTGCCAGCTCCGGAATACATCTGCCATTTGCCCCACACGAGCGGGGAGCTAGGAGAAACTGCAGAAGAGGTGTAATCTGGCTCTTGGTCAATGTTTGGCGACATAGCTTGCATGTATCGGTGCTGGGCGTCTTGCTATCGGGATCGCGCCGCTACTAATCACATCGTGGGCTGGCTCATAGTCGTTGTCGCATTGAACGCAACGTGGTGCACGTGCGCCTCGAACCATCGTGACTTCGCTGGTACTGTGGGGCGAACTGTGCAGCATGTCCCTTATGTCACTGGTCAACAGCTCGTGATGGGATCCTCCTTCTCCCCATCCCTACCCTTTCTCGCGCCCCCCCCTCGTCCTACCCATTCATGTGCATCTTCCTGCTTCCTCCAAAGGCCCCCCTGAAGCGCAAGTAGCGCGGCGGCTCCTCTCCGTCCTGGCCGAGGCTGGGGTCGCGAACGTTCCCGACTCACTGCGCGGGACCGCGGGACGCACGAGAACAAGGCGGATGGGGCTGCGGCCGCCGCCGTGACGCGGGACACCGAGTGGGGTGTCCTCCGGCCCCTTCGAGTTGTCATCTTTGAGAACTGCAAGAACTCTCTACTACAGGGCGCGGAGCCCCGCCAGAGCGGAACTCCTCCTCCTCCTCCTCCTCCTCCTCCTCCTCCTCCTCCTCCTCCTTCCCTACCCTCCTCCTCCTCCTCCTCCTCCTCCTCCTCCTCCTCCTCCTCGTCCTCCTCCTCCTCCGGGCTCCAGAGCCCCTGGGCGCTCCAGTAGCGATCCCTGGGCGCTCCCCTGGGCGCACGGCACGACCTTTTCCAGATGTCACGAGCCTTCGGAAGGCACGGAGCTGTGCAGTGCTGTCGTCGCCGGACAGAGGGAGGCAGCAAGAACTGGACCCTGGACCATCGAGTGCCAGGAGGGCCCCCGAGGCCGCCAAGCGGCACCTCAGGGGCCCCCAGAGGCGCCCAGGAGGACTCGGGAAGCCTCGAGGCTGGCTCTTCGGTACCGAGGAGGCCCCCGAAGCGGGCGGACCCCTCCGGCCTGCCAAGACGTGTCGCCTGCACGTCCGGTGCTGCGCCGCGCGCCATCTGCGCAACGACGGACGACAGGCGCGCTTGTCCAGAACGGGGGCCGGCCCGACGAAGTACTCGAATATCCTCCTGCTCTTCACGGAGACCGCGCCCTGAAGGCAAAACGCTCGGCATGACTGCCACATGCCTTCAGGTCGGGCATGTCCCCCTACAGGGAGACGCGGGACGAAAAATTAGAAATACTCACCAAAAATGCAAAAATATTTAAAAATGCTCAGACAATCGCCCCCATACTATTTTTTTGCTATTTCTGAGAATGTTCCCCCTGTAGGGGGACAGGCCCGACTGAAACGTACCTGGACAGTGTCACATTCACATCCTTGCCGAAATCGGCCCACGGCCTCCACGTAGGCGCGGCCGGGGCACCCCGCGACCCCGAGAGCAGGGCGAAACGGCCAGTCTTATCCTCGGTGGACGCGACTGTCGAGGCTGGTGGGCCTGATTTCCACCTCCACCACCACCAGAAATTGGAGGGGGAGGGGATCCTCCTCCTCCTCCTCCTCCTCCTCCTCCTCCTCCTCCTCCTCCTCCTCCGCCTCCACCTCCACCTCCACCTCCTCCTCCTCCACCTCCACCTCCCTCCGCCTCCTCCTCTTCGTCCTCCTCCTCCTCCTCCTCCTCCTCCTCCTCCTCGTCCTCCACCTCCTTCCCCCCTCCAACTTCTGGTGGTGGTGGTGGACAACAGGCCCATCAGAGGCGTGTACACGGATCTCGCCCACGCCAGCCCCCTCGCCTCCCAAAGACGAGGCCTCCATGCTCCACAGGACGCAGGGCGGCGCAGGCGCCGGCGTCAGCCTGGCCCGGGCCTCGACCTGGGGTGGAGCTCAGAGGCAACAATTACCTCTGGCACCTTCTGCATAGCCGAGCCTACACGAGCGAAAAAATCAGCCCAGAGATTGCCACGCCAGTCTAAGATTTCTCGCTGGGAGAGGGGGGGGGGGGGGGCACATCCTCGAGCTCGCGGTGGGCTGGTACCCACGTCAGCAGGGGCCTGCGTTGGCCCTCCGCGTGCGCATCTCGCGCCATATGTCAGCATGCGAGGACTGAGCACCAGCCAAAGACGCATCCCAAGGGGCTCCCTCATTGACAAAAGAGAGGTGATCACTGCAAACCTCGACGTCGGGGGGAGCAACCTTGATCGCCCACAAAACAGCATAGCGCTCGGCACGGGGAGCCGTCTGGCGCCAAGGGAGGGGCCCGAACAAGGCCCTGACAGGAACCCCCTGGGCCCGACCTCGACGACAGACTATCCACACCGTCTAAGTTCGGGACTGGCGCTGGCCAGTCCCGAGCCATCGGTATAGACGCGCTGCCCCGACTCTTGGTGGGTTGCCTCAAGAAGTATATATCCATGTTCCAATCACCAGGGGGGGTGGGAAGGGAAACGGAGCCCGGCAGGAAGGGTGGCCCGAGACGGGCGTCGGCGTCTGGGAGGGGCATCTGGCGATTCACCAACAAAGTGCCCCTGACCCTTTGGGAGCGAACCCGAGTTAGGAGGGCCAAAATATTAGGGCCCGGGGTCTTTTCTGCAGATGTCTCAGGCCAGAACGCCCAGACTGACCATCCCTGATGCGAAGACGGAGATCTTCGGGAGCGGCCAAGGAGGGGGGTGTCCAAGAGGGGGGGTGCAAATCATGGCCGGCGTCACGAGCACGGCCCCCCAGGGGGGGACCAGGGACGTACTGAGATAAGAAGAGGCGCCGTAGAATCCGCCGATCCGGCGTGTGAGTTTCAGAAAGCTACAACCTGAGCTTCAGCTCTGCTGGGGGGCGCCGGGGTGGCTCTGCTGGGGTAGGGGGGGGGGAGAGGGGAGGGGTTCATGGGGTCCACCCTTTCTTCCCCCCCCCCCGGGAATCCCAAACCGCCCCAAGTCGGGCCAAAAGGGGCCCAGGAGGCCACCAAGACGGTCCAGGAGGCGCCCGAAACGGCCCAAGAGCGCTCCTGGACGCCCAAGATGGCCTGAAGACGGCCCAAGAGGCCTCCAAGACGCCTCAAGGAGATCCCAAGAGGACCCCCAAGGGGGCCCCAAGAGGGTACAAAAATAAAGTTGCCAATAGTCTTTGCAGCATGTTAACATTATCGCCTTTTCCGTCTTAGAAGCGCCGAAGACGGTCCAAGAGGCCCCCAAGATCGCCCCAAGACAGCCCAAGAGGCCCCCAAGAAGAGCCAAGACGGTCCATTAGGACCCCGATATAGCCCTGGAGGCCCCCCAAGACGACCCCGAGAGGCCCCCAAGATGGCCTCAAGAGGGTGAATCCGAACGGACCCCTCTAGTCCTCCACCCCAAGATGACCCCAAGAGCCCCCAAGATGCCCCCGAGGCGCCCCCAAGGGGCCCCCAAAGGATCCCAAGAGGCCCCCAAGAGGCCCCCAAGAGGACCCCGAGAGGCCCCCAAGAGGCCCCAAAGGCCCCCAAGAAGCCCCAAGAACCAAGAGGCCCCAAGAGGCGCTCACTCGCGTGCTGCCAGGCCAGAGGTGCACGGCCTGATATGGTATTGCTCGGAAGCGAAAGCGATGAGCGAAGAACCTTCCACCCGTCGCCGTCACCAGTCGTCGGTCGTCGGTCGTCGGCAGCCGTTCGCCGTCAGTCGTCGTCGTCGTCGTCGTCGTCGTCGTCGTCGTCGTCGTCGTCGTCGTCGTCGTCGTCGTCGGTTCGTCGTCATTAACTCCTTCGTCGGACGTCGTCGTAATTATCCCGCTCGTCGACCGTTGGTCGTCCGTTGTCGTCGTTATCGTCCATTTCATCAACAATAGCATCAGGAGCGCCCCGGATCGGCGGCACTGGCTGGAGGCCACTGCAATCTGGGGAAATATCATGGCCCCCGCCATGAGATCCACCCCCACCTAGTCATCACCCCCCTCTTTGCCGCACCCGGCGACCCCTTCCCCGGGAGGAGCTCTCCGTCCCAGATCCATAATCAATGGTCCCATGGGCCCGAGAACGGGCCCTGGGGGCCGAAATCCAGGAAGAGCCGCCGGATTGACAATCAAGCCGCCAAAATCCAGGAGAAGTCCAGGAAAAAAGTCGCCGAAACCCAGGAAATCCGGGAAAAGCTATAGGAAAAGCCGCCGAATCAGATCCTCGGATCTCTGGGGGCCCCTCGACCCCCAGCGGAGTCCACGCACCAGCGCCCGGGGCAGCCCCGAAGCTCCCTGCGGCAGGCCTCTCGGGCCTCTCACTGAGCGTTTTCGTAGGGTGGAAGGCTCAGGGTGAAATCCGAATGGGCTTTTGCACCTCGAAAATCGATCCGTCTTGTGAAAATCCATCGAAACGGAATTCCAGATTTTACCCTTTCGGGGATGGACAGACCCCCCCTTAGTAAAACGTGGTTTAGTGAAAACGACCTGAGGCCCAAACCTGGCGGGCGCAAGCCTGGAAAATAACGGCCACGGCGCCCTCTCGAGAACCGAAAACGGACAATTCACTAATCGACGTGTCACTGTTGGGGGTTCTGTCCACCCCCGACCCTGTGCCCTCCACCCAAAGAAAATGCTCGGTCTCAGGGGAGCTCTGGTTCATTTTGAACAGGACTCGCTGTCCACGCCGCCGCGGCCTGTGTCCATGTGAGACAGAAGGCCACCTGCCCAACAGCGGCCGCTGCTGGTTTGGGACAACATTTGTTGTTGGGCGTTGTACCCATTCTTCCCGTACCCATTTCGGGCGTCCAGATTTCGGGCCTCTCAGGGGAGCTCTGCCCGGGCAGCCCCGGCCCCCTGGGCGGCCCCGGAGCGTTCCCGGCTGCACAGAAAGTATCTTCTGGGCCCCCCCGGAGCTTGCAGGCCAGCGCCCGGACAGCCTCGTGCGGGTGGCAATGGGGGGTGGGTCTGGTAGGGGGGGCCAGGGAGGGGCGAGGACAGGGGCGGAGGCCAGCGAGGGGAGGACCGTGGCCAGGAGGAGGAGAGGCAGAGGGCAGGGGGGCCAGGAGAACGAGGCGGCGGAGGGGCAGGAGCGGGGGGGAGAGGCAGGAGCGGAGGTCATGGAGGATGACAGGGGTGATTGAGCCCCCAACGTCCGCGTACACGGGCGCCCAAAAGCCCAGACCCCCTCGGGCCATGGGAAACATCATGGCGGGAGGTGTTCCGCCATGTTGGGCGTCCAAGGGCCATCAGGGGCCCTCACTGGCCCTCGGGACCGTCAACAAAACGACTCAGGATGGGAAACCTGTCCTGAGGGTCGACGTTGTGAAAAGAATCAAGATGTCGGGGGTCTGGGTGAAAGGGGGGCGAGAAAGGAACCCTACAGGGCTGGACCTAAACGGTGTTTTTGGCGATTTCGTGGGCCGTTCTCGTTTCGACTTCGCTTTGCAGTAAAAGCGGATCCGAGACAAAAGCGAAGGACAACGAAGACAAAACGAAAACGAATAACACCGTTTGGGTTC